ACCGACATTTCCGAAAGTTGCTTAACAACAACGATCGCGGGCCGCGGCACTTATCCACTACGCCACCGAGCTACTCGTTGGTTATACCCTTATTAAATAATATTTATAAAAAACTAGTTGTTCCCCGCAACTTCAAAATCTTTATTCAGTTTAGGCTATTACAAGCACTTGTGAAAGTCGAAACTCTATGCCATTGGTTCGTAAATGTTCGGCCGTGTTTGATGTAGCTTGCAGTAGATGAAATAGTTTTCATATTCATATTAGTATTTCCGAAGACTATTCTACAAACTTAGTTTATATGTAAAAAGGTACAAAGAAAAGTATTTACATTTACCAAACAAATTTACAAGCATTCGTTTGTCGCACTATATTTTGATAGGTTTGAAAAGCGTAAGATCAAACTCTCTCTGTATACTTTACGAGTATGTGTATCTATAATATAGCTAACCGATCAGCTAGGGACCAAAACATCAATATCTAAAGATAAGTGCTATATATTTAAAAAGGAAAGGTCAACATGTCACCTAAATTTAAATATTGTCCAGTTATTTTAGATATTATAAAAAGGTTATATTTTGTAGTAAAATATCGAATATTTAAACTATATTACGGTTTATATGTTATATAATATAAGTATAATACTAATATTATAAAATACCGTGGTTTGCACGCCGGTTTACGGTGTCACCATCTCTGAAGTCCCCAGTTCGATTCCCGGTCAGGTTCATATAGAAAATTGACTCTTCCATAATGTCTCAGGCTCTCAGGATCCCATCGTCTTCCTTGTCTCAGAACCTCCATAATTTTTCACCTACGGGAAGCTACATAATACGTTTATACGATTATCATATACGAATGATATATTATATAAAATAAGGTAGTGAAATCGCGGGAAACAGCCATTATATTTAAAATGAAAATATACGCGCACAACTTCAGAACAGTGATGAAAAGTTTTTACAAAAGAAAACTTTTATAGGGATGGTTAATCAAAAACGTATTGGCCTCGATTGTTGAAAGATAATTTTGCTGTTCCTAAAATATAACAGTCTTGAAACTTTAAAAAAGGGCGGAATAATACTGAAATGAAATGTAAACAAAAACTTACAAAAAGAAGTAAAACTAAAATTCCATCTCAAATTTTTTATGTAAAATGGTGCCAAGAAGAATGTTATCAGTTCTTACGTAGGGCCAAATCAAAAGATTAGCTATGCTATTAAAAAATAGCCTCGAACTCGACGTGGAACATTTTCGAGTAGGTTTAATTTAATATTAATCGTAATTTTTAATGGATCAAACCTGTTCCCATCATATTTATATTTAGTGGTATGATTTAGTTACAGCTTTAAGACTTGATATAATTATTGGTCTCGACTAACCATTTCGATTATTTGATTATTTTATTTTCGCATTAATGTTGTATCTCGTTTTTTCTTCAGTAATGAGTAACTAATATACTTTCCACTTTAAAGCTTAATATTAAGCTATTCTCATAGTAATAACGAATTTGGAGTGCTTAATAAAATATAACGACATTTTAGCGCTCTAGCCTCGCATTTTGCTCTTCATCCTCTCTATTGCTAATTTTCTCCTTTTACATATTCTAACGGTAAGTATCAATTAAAACTTACTTGACTTCAAAAAGGAGGTACAGAGCGAAAAAAAATACTAAACCCCAGTAATTTTTCGCTTTAGACGTTAAAAACAAGGGCATTATTTATCAAACTGAACACGTTTCGGCCATTTACGACACTCAAATGGATGCTGTGTAATTTTTTATTCCTTTCAAGGCTGAAATTGACCTCTCACTCGCGCCTGATGTAATAGAGATCTGAGAAAAATTGTCTACGATTGAGAATTATTGGAAAATTTGTGGGAAATGGACCTTTTATGGGATGTGTTGCGCGCTAGTGGTTCTCTTCGCTTCGCTAGTGGTTTAACTCGAAACGATTTAGTGACAATTTTGGCCAAGTTGCACAATGTTTGCTTGCATACTTATTCGTGTCAATCATGAAGAGCGCGAGGCTTGATTTTGTTAGGTCATAAAAACATTTAGAAAGATCTACTTATAAAGTTATAAAAACTAGTATTTATATTATTTTTACACAGTTAAGATGAAATGGTAAACTATTATAAATAATCTGTGTGACTCATGTCCTTAAAGTCCTTATTAACATGTTTTAATTTGCTTAAGTGTGCAAATAGATTGAATAAAACTTGTCCAAAACAGGCAGATTAAATGTAACGTCATATACTTCGGCCACAGATATTATAATACTGTATTTACACGATACATACTACGTTACAAAATAAAAATTCAGGTAGTGGGTAATGCAATCAAATAATTTTAGTGAGCAATTTTTCAGTATCATAAAGCTTGTCTAGTAATATATAAAAATCTTTTGAGAAATGCAACAGGTTTGAATGAACATTAATTGTAACTTGGTATATTTGTCACATAGTTTATCTACTGGCTATGTGCACGATTTCAGCAACACCTAACGTCCTCTACTTTGGTAGCTTTTTCACGGTTCGAAATTAAACTCAATAAATATATTGGAATCATTAACTATCTATTATTTTATAATACAAAACTACTGCTTATTAGGTAGACAGAGTGTAATAAAATTATTTTTAATGTTTCAAATTAAATGACGAAACTAAATTTATTAAAAAAAATGTGTTTTATTTGAGTTATGTCAGAATTTGTTTAGCTCATTTTTAGTTGAAACTTTACTGTAAATAAGAAATTAAAGGGCCTTTGGCAATTTCATTAAATAATAATAGTAATCATATACAATTATTCCTGTAACGTTAGTAATAAATTAAATATGGCTTCTAGATTGAAATGAGTATTATTCTGAGGACCGGGTTTGTGTGTATCACTCACAATATAAAATAAAATTTTTGAGACCTTGCAATGCCTATGTTTTTTATAGGAGGTAGTTGAACTCATAATCAACACTGTTTTTTTTTTATATTAATCCAATTGCAGCTGACGATTAAAGTACCTAAGTGATAAAAGCAAACATAAGCAATATTTTAAGTCACTGTATTTAGAATATATTCATACAAATAACGATAATAATAACAAAAGTAATCAAACAGAATGTTATTTTACTTTAAAAAATATTATCATTAGGTAAATTTACAAATTTATTTCAGTATAGTTTATTTATTGTTTTATCGATTCCTATACAAATTATGATTTAGTGGTAATTTAAGATAAAAAATTGGTTTATTTTCTTTTTATTTATAAATCATGATTGGTAAACAGGTTTGACATTAATTCAGTGGAAAGCAATGGTTTTACTTTTGGCCACCATGAGCGCTGCCATTGCGTTTGCGTTATCCCCACCTAGTACTTCGCATCCAGCACGCGTAGCATGACGAACTCGAGAGCGTTTAGTCTAGACTCAAATGTCACTTTTCTCTGGTGCGCCTTTCACCAGAGAACTTTCACTTTTGACCCGAGAAACTGACAAATGAGTGTAGACAAAGCGTTTCTCGAGTTTGTCATGCTACGCGTGCAGCGAATTGCAATGTGAAAAGGTAACGTTCACAAAATAATACAGTTAGTATTAAATTCGACTAATTGTCACGGGGCCATCAACCTCTCTACTCGCTTTCTTCATTCATCTTATTCGTTATTCGTATCTTTTCCGAGTAAATTCGTAAAATACTATGGTTCAATTTATTGTATTTTATTATGGACTTCATTTTAAACTTTTATATTTTAGGAGTTGAGTTTAAAATTAACTGGAGAAATTAGACTTATTATGGTAACCTGGCGTGTAGTCGTGTGTACTCGTCAATGTGAATGAATTAGTAATTCTAATATTTACATATTCATGTAAAGAATATACTTATGAGTAAAGGCTATTATAAAGTTGATGATTATTTTAAGGATCGCAATGCATGGAATTAATAACCTTCGCTTTGTTCTATAAAGACTATTTATATGTTCAACTTATGTCCTACAGACTTTGAAAGTTGTATTTATTATTGTGATAATACATATTATTTTGGTAATGACATGATTTATGTAAATGTCAGTACTTATTATAAAAAGCTGGTAAGTTTCTTTCGCTTGTTCTTCTTGTCAGCTAAAAGACGTTCTAAACAAGTGGTAGGGGATTTTTATTTTTATTTTTGGACGATTCAAAAGTGCTTGTAATAGCCTACTTGAATAAAGATATTTTCATTTCATAATATTTACATAACTTACTTTTTCCCCACTATATGAACGTCTTAGTCACAACCTCTTACTGTTACTAATAATATTTTGTTTTTTGTTCCAGATATTTAATTATCACTATTAGCGGTGGCCGATGTAGCCAATGGATATTTTAAAAGTCGTGTGATAAAATAAACAGCACATATGAAGCGAAAACTATGCACGGTGCCGTCATTCAACTGTGAAGACGATATGGAAGAGCTGAATGTGGTATGTATTGTTTAAATAAATTCCTATGTCTTCACCGCGACTTTGCCCGCGTAAATACAGCCAATGTCAATTGCATTGCATAATAGCTTCCCGTAGATAATTTAATTTTTATAATCGCATCGATATTACCGAAGATCCTACATACAAACAAACAAAGATAGAAACTTTACCTCTTTATAATAATAGTAGTTGAAAACAATAAAATGTCAGTCAAGAGAGAAAAGGACACCCGCACTGAATATCTTTTTCCACAGTTTCCACACAAATATTGAAATCTAAAACAATAGACTTTATATATATATATATGTATATATTATTTTAGGCCCATTAGTTTCAGTTATCAGAATTGGACTGATATAGATAATGAAAACAGTTTCTGTGCATATACTTTTATTGTTTTATATATTATTTAAATAAAAAATTCAATGAGCTATAATATTTTCCATAATTTGTCATTATGTTACTGATAACTTATATCAGTAGTTATATTCTAAGCCGTTTTCCTATATAAGTCAAAGTTTTATTAGATCCTTGAAAAAAAAATAAAAAGCATTTAAATCTTTTCACTAGATTCTACTTCTTCAGGCTCCGCTATAATATCCTCTTCCTCAACAACCGTTTCGTAAACTGAGGGCGGTTGTGCGAACTTTTTAGGAGCAATAGAAAATTCGTCTTCGATTCTGCTTGGATGGATTTTTATAAAGCTGTCGTAAGGATTCAGTGCCTGTCTTCTCTCTTTGCCTTCTGCTAATGAACCTTCCCAAGAAAATGCAATTTTATACGGGTTATCCTTTACCATTCTTTGAGCCCCGTTTTTTATATAATTATAATCATCTAAATACTCTTTTTTCAAAGCCTCTTTGTTATCCGACAATAAACTCTTTTTTTCCTTAGCTTTCTTTTTTATTGCTTCAGGGAATAATATAGCGACTGTATCATTAAAAATATTCTTTTGATTCTTCATAATTTCTAACATTCTTCTTTCTTTCTCTAATCTTTGAGCTTCTAATTCACGTAATGGTTTTTCTTGTTCGATTAATTCAGCCCTGTTTATTCTTTTTTTCACAGCTATAGTTCTTTCTATAAGTTTTTGAATTATCTTCTGCCATCTCTCCTCGGGACCAACTACTTTCATTTTCTGTAGTCTTCTCGCTTCTGCTTCCTCTTCAAGTCTTTTTTCTTCCTCTTCACGTAATCTACGCTTTTCTTCTTCCTTTTCTGCAAGTAATGCACCTTCTTTTCGTTTTATTTCAAGTAAAATTTGAGGATTATTTTTCATCCAATCATCTTGCCATTTTATAAATGACTGCATTACTTTTAAATCTCTCGATAACATATTATCAAAGCGCCCTTTGTAAGCGGGATTATAAATCATAAATATAGGTGGGTCCAAAAACATTCTAAAAGAGCCGTTAATATCACTCACACCAATAATATTTTTAGCTAATGGCAATGTATGCAAGCTAACACCCGTGAGCATTGTTCCCGATAAAGTCTGAACTGAAATCGGTTTGTCACTTTTAATTAGCAGATCCCAGGTCTCAACGTCTCCTTCAGAGGTAGAAATAAAAAGTAAACTTGGCTTATACAACGACCAAGCACCTTCGGTCAAACGATAAGGACGTTTTTTCCAAACAAGTGGTCGATTTAACAATTTATCGGTCCAAATAGCAAATATTTTTCCACCTACTGTTAATGTAATATGATTTATGAAAGGATTTCTTTGTGTAGAAGATACAATTCCATCGTGTAAATAACAACGAAAATTTATTTCACAATATTCAGAGTTAACAACTTCTCCGGTATTGAACTGATGACCTTCCCAAGTGACTCTTCTTACTTCTCCATGCTGTGAGCCACAATACAAAACCATTGAAATATCTCGTTCATCTTGAGGAACTACTTCACATTTGAAGTACTTCCGTCCCATACCTGTATTTTTTGGTGTATAAATATAATTTAAAAGTGGAGGATTCATTGCAAAAGATTGCAAGCACAATGTTTCGGGTTTTCCAGCGATGCCTAATATAATTTTGTAACATGGTTGCAAATTACGATCCAATATTTTTAATGGAGAAACATCAAGAGTCAACCCTGATGGTCTTCTCGCGATCCTTTTTGATTTTTTTACTTTTTTACCTTCAAAAAACGTTAAATTATCGACAGAAAGGTTCCAAATCAAGATATTACCATCATCAGAACCAGAAAAAAACATTAAAGAACACTTATCTTTTGGCATAACGGTGGCCGTTCCAGTAGGTGAAATAACAAAATTGGGAGGAAACCACTTAATGGCAGTCACTGGCCCATAATGACTAGTCATTAAATTACTTAATACTGTAGATTGTACAACTCCTTTATCTTGTACGTTTTTCATCCAATCCATGTGAGCATTCATAGCGATTCGATATCTTTCTCTGGTCTCGCTCAAGACTTCAACTGTTTCTACATTTTCCAGTTTTTTGGTTAAGTCCCAAATAACTATTTGACCATTTATACAACCGCCAACTAATATATTTTCATTGAATGGACAAAACGATAAAGTTTTGACCTCACGTGGCGATTCCAAATACAATTTTGGTAACAAACTATCTATGTGGCTCCATATCATTACTGGATTTAAACCGTATACAGCTCTTTGTATTGGGTCAGGCCTTGTACCCAAGGTTTTCATAACAGTGGGTGAACCGTCTGAATAGCACACAGCTACAATACCAGACCACATTGGGTGAAACGCAGCACAAGAAACATACTTATCTTTAGCTCTAACATCCGTAAAGCAAACATATTCCTCAAAAGCCATCGTATCATAAATATCAACAAACTTTTCTGCAATCAAATTTGGATAATCATTGCAATACATGTCCATCACAGTATTAAGTTCGATAATGGAATTAATTTCTTCAGATTTTGAGGACATGAAACCATTTATCATTTTAATATATGATGGTCGTCTCATACGTTTTAATGCTGCACGATAAGCTTGCAAACCTACTTCATCCACTTTCTCTTTTTCTACCTCTTCTTCGTCTGAGCTTTCTTCTTCTTTACCATCATCTTTATCCGTCCGTGTACCAGTATCCCCTCCTCCTTCGACATCATCCATCGATCCCAAAGCATCCGCAATTGATTGAGTCCACTTATTTTGCGGGTACTTTAACACTGTTTGTGCTTCTCTATTGACCACTGGAGGTGTAATTTGTGATGCACAGTCAACTCTTCTGCTATAAACATTATTAAACTTCTGTCTGTAGGGTGTCAATTCTATATAACCATCTCGCACGGCATTCGAGTCTCTAACTTTAAACTTCAGTGGTTCATATTCTTTGGGAAACTTAGCTTTGATTTCCATTTCCATTAAAGGTCTTGTATTAATCGGTTTTAATTCCATTATTTCTTTATCGCTTCCTAAACTTTTCCAAGGCCTAGGTTTTTTCTGCACCGCCTTTTCTAACTTCTTTTCTTGTCTTTTTATAAATCTGTCAGATTGTTGTTTACAATGATCTCTTGCTTCTATAGTACAACATACGTAAAATTCATCGGTATCTTTAGATTCATCTACAATATACCCTAAAAGCATCATTTCTCCTGAATAAGCTTCAATGTGTTCTTTTATAGAGAAAAATTCAGATAATTCTCCACCGACCTCTATAGTTTCTAAAATTTTTGCCTTACTAATAGTTTTCCATGGATATTGCGCATTCACATGCGTGCCTATAACCATTTCTATTTGCATTTGTGTTTCTTCTCCTAATGAAACTTTATATACTCCATCTACTTCATATTTTGGGATGAATCTCTTTCTACGAGGCTTTGGTTGTTGTGTAGTCATGTTTTCATATGAAGCTGAAAGAAATTAGAGTATTTATTAAAAAAATATATTCGTTGTAAAAACACTTCAATTATTATTATGACAGTTATAATTGGATGTCATTCAAATGTCTTATTTAGTCAATAATATTTTCTATAGGACTAGGAACAAGAATCTATCCAAGCTATACAACCTATTTATAGACAAAGAAAATTTTCTTTACTTATCATTTACAAAATTATTTTAATAATTTGAATATACCTATCCAACTTAGTATTTCAATCTATGCGATATCAATTATCGGCAAATAGAATCTAGTTTTAACAAATTATAAATACTTAAAGAAACGCCAGCGGTAATTGTTAGGTCTACCGGTCTAAGATGTGGAGATTAAGCAACTTTCACAAAAGCCCATTATCGGATAGGTGATTAAAAATTTTATAACTCGGGCTCCTATTTATTTTGGAAGGCATCTCAAACTCTTGGTCTCGGCTGCTTTCAACATTCAACTTCAACGTCAACACCCACTAATCCGCAATGGAACCGCGTGGTGTCCCCACTGTAAGCACGGTACAGCTGAAATCAGTCTGTTCCTTTATGGGACATCCTACACTGAGCGGCTCTTGGACTCCTGCTTCACACTTAAGTACGGTTGTATAACTGAGTATATTATAATAACTTGTAATGTAGTGATAGTAGTGGTCCAATAAATGATTAATCTATCTATCCACTGCAGGGCTCAGGCCTTCCTTATGGATGGTTAGGAAGGATGTGCTATGACACTCCACGCCAGCCTAATGGGCATCGGAGAGTATTAACGACTGCAAAAAGCTGCAGGGACCAACAGCTTCATGTACCTTCTGAAGCACGGTATACCTAGAGATAATACGTTTTTTGGTACCCATCTCTTACGAAATTTGTTTAACAACAACGATTGCGAGACGCGACTCTTAAACACTATATCACCAAGTTACTTCATACTCTCTAACTTAGCTTTCTAACTAACTGTTCTAACTGTGAACTTTCTGCGAAAAATAGTGTATAAACTTTCTGCTTTATGATGTTTATGTCTGCCGCTGTTCTGTCTAATAACACAATAACCAATTTTTTTTTCAACTTGAGTTTTAATTTTAACTAGGTAGCTGACGAAATATTTTTACATTACATTTTGCGATATGGAAAAGATAAATCGTTGTTAGAGTCATGTCTTGTTACTTATTCAGTTAACGAATTATACAAACCAGACTTCTAAAGCTAAAAATAGGAAAATGTTCTGGTGAAAATGCGAGGTTTCATGACATTCAAATATGGTAAACACAAATGGTATTTTCGAGATTTATGCAAATTGTTTTATATTCAAATTAAGCTTCGTACAATTAATAGTCACACACTCGTATAAACTTAATTAATACACAAATTAAGATTCTATTACGAAAATAACTTGTGTATACAATAAATCTAATGAGTTCCTCTGTAATACCTCAATGAATATTTACAAGATACCGAATTAAATGCTATTGATTTAATTTAAAATGGAAACATTTACAAATAACTGACTGTAATCGAACAATGCGAGTTCTCGATAAATTGTTCCAGGGACTTAATCCTCTTTTGTCGTTAGTAATATTGTTTTCCCGATTACCACCGCATTGTTCCCGATGTTTAATTGCATCTCGTTAATTAGTGTACTCGTAAATACACTAGGACACATGTTTACCTATAAATATCAATTATCTTATTCTTAAAGGACCTAACCCGGTTAAATATATGAAAACTGCACCCGCGTCTGATGAAAGGTTCTTACCTTGTTTTTATTGTTTTCAGCTGATATAGCGATACACTTCATCTCACACCCCTAAGTAAGGGAATAATAGGGGTAACAACCACAACCGTGAACGTAAAAATGTTTTTTCTCGATCCGTATTGAAGATATCTTTGTGAAATTGAAACTGTACATGATAATCGATGAACTAATTATAATAAATATTTTTTAGAATTTTTGTCTTATTAGAAACGGTAAAATCGAAAAGTATATTTTTTGAAGCTGGTTTAGTGATACCTAAAAATAATATTTTATTTGTTGATTAGTTAGCTGTTACAGGTTTATATCACAAAAGGATCAAAATGTTGGAACATAACTTGAAAAATTAAAATCAATTACAGATACGTGCAATGTCTATGCTTATATTAGGGGAGAGTCGGTTATATTGTACTACATTTTACTTTTACAATTATAACTTGTTTTAATGTTGATTAAAAAATACTTTTTCTCGTATAAAACAAAGTTTAGAATCTAGTCTAACTTTTCCTTCAAAATCAGTAGCGTACCTATTTGTATAATATTTTTAACATATTTTATTCTAGAGGCTTACCTTTGGAACAATTTATCCAACTAGTCCGATTAATTGTACAATTATCGGTATGATAAATTGTACTACTAATAGTTATGTCACTTTAAATTAATACAGTTGCTAAATTGTTTGATAAAACAAGGTTTAAATAAAATATAACGCTTCCATTAATTTTTTTTTAACTTTAATTTGGAAAACAAGCTAAAGAAACTAAATCAGTATTTCTTTTTATCCAAATTGTGTGATTTACAAACAGAAACGCTTCTCAATTAAACTTTTCATGAAATAAAAGTAACTTCTCGTAAAAGAAAAACAAAAATAAAACAATCAAACTTATTATTATTCTATGAGATCAAATTCTTTCTTTAACTACCCTACTTTAGTTCAAACAATTATCGCAAATATCAGGATTCGATGTACAGGTCTCGTGGACCCATCTCTTGCAACGAACACACTGAATCCAGTCAACATTTGGGCCATTTTTGTCGAAGTAGTGACCATCACACAAAGTACAAACATTTTGTTCGTCAACATCCTTACTATCATCACTACTAATAGAAGAAGATCTTTTTCTTTTCTGATTTTTCATTATAGTTTTCTTTTCAAATTGTTTCTTTGGGATTCGTTTGTTACCTTGTTTTCTTTCTATCTTTGGCCCTTTTACTATTTTATCTTTTGTTATCTTATTCTTGATTTTTTCATATTTTTCTGTATTTTGTTTTTGTTTAGCAGTAACTGCTTCCTCTAATTTATTTTTGTATGGACTTGAAGTGATTTCAACTGCCTTCTGTACGGTTTTCTTATGTTGATTACTTTTGGGTATAGGACATAAAGACTGCAATGACTTTCTTATTTCTTTGGTTTTTAAACCCGATGTAGAAGGTTGAGGATTGTCTTCACTTTCTGCTGATTGGACGAGTAATTGGATTGTTGGGGAGTTTTCTTTTCCTTTGATTATATCGTTCCTATCTTTATTTGGCTTGGTAAGGTTCAAGCTGCTTATTTCTTTTTTAGCACTAACATCCTGTGACGTACTTTCATGACTGGTATTTTTGGAACTGTCGGCATCCATGTTTTCAGCAGCTGTGAATAAATGTTCTGGAAAGATATTCCTGTTTACAGGCCATACACCAGCTGCTTTAAACCCATTAGAAATAGTACCAATCACTGCAGCCCTTCTGTAAGCTTCAGAAAACAAACTTGCTACTTGATACTGAGTAACTTGACGACCAGGATTTGTTCGTAACCATTTTTCCATAGCTTGAATGTAGTATATACTAACTGGCTTAAAAAATGAGACATCCAGAGGTTGTAGCCGGTGAGTGGTATGCCCTGGTAACTGTAACATTATGATACCATTATCTTTGGCGAGATTTAACGCTTCCAGATTCTTCGAATGTGTAGTATGTCCATCAAGCAGAAGTAAAACTTTTTTTGTTAGTGATGGTTTGACTATACTAATAAAATGTTTAATCCACTCAACAAACAGTGCTGAGTTAATATAGCCTGATTCTGAAATCGTCACAATACTACCAAGCGGTGCGCCGTTTGCTAACTAAGGATTATTCCTCATTCTCTTAAATATTAGCATTGGAGGCACAAATTGTCCAGCGGCACTAGCACAGCAAACAACAGTCGTATTTACACCCCTTTCCCCACTTGTTATTGTGCCAACCTGCTTCTTTCCTTTCAAACCCACAACTTTTTGTGGTTTCTTTTGGACTGTTGAAAATCCACTTTCATCAACCTTAAATATGTCCGCAGCTGTTAAACTATATTCATTTATTATCTTCTCTAATAAATTATAGAAACCATAGACATTCTGCCTATTAAATCCCTTTACTCTGTTTATGGATGTGCTTTCAGGCTGTCTGACACTCAGTTCTGGGTGACGTCCTTTAAAAGCATAAAACCAAGCTTTGCCCGCCATTTGCCTCTTTTCATTAAATGTGTGATAAATGTTATGTTTTTCCGCTATATTAAATGCAAGTTTCCGTACGTCATTGATAGTCAGTCCAAACATGTGCTTTTCTAATTCTAAAATATGCTGTACTAGAATATTTTCCAATTCCGTGCTGAAAGTAGTGGGTCTACATTTATGAATCGCTGAATCATTAGCAATCTTATTTTTCTTTCTTGCATGTCGCAAAATGGTCGGTTTTGGAACAGAATATTTGGCCGATATTTTATTGAGACTCATCTCCTTTCTTTCTAAGGCCAATAGGGCTCTTTGTAAGTCATCTTCGTTCCATCTATAGTATTACTTTTTATCACTGTCCATCTGAAAAAAAAAAAACTTAACGTGGGTCGGGTAAATCATACCAGTACAACTTAGACGCGTACTAGTGGTACGATTTACCAAAATAACCTCAAAATATAATCTGTTTGTTATTTTACAGAATGAAAGACTTCTCAAAGATTGTTCAAGTAAAGTAAAAATGAAAATCATAACGTACCTTTGTTGCAAGAAATATCTTTAGGTTTCAACATCAAATTTTACATAAAACACCCACAAAAACTTTTTTTATCTCTCGAACAAAATTTACTTGCCGGACGCCATTCCAAAATGACAAATAGTTGAGAGCGCTGTCAATGCTTTGCTTTTGTGTTGCCAGTAAAGAAAAAATAAAGTGATTAATAGAAAATCTTGAGGTGGTACAATTTATCCGGTGGTACAATATACCCAACTTTCCCCTACATTTTTTTACCATAAACTATATAATGCTTGTTTACTGATTCTATAACTATCGTCATAAATACATTCTTATTACTTCTAAATTTCAAAATACATGTATGCCTATAAATCATCTATACACAGTATGCAATTTAACAGCATTTGACTGCGCAAATTTCGAACAGCGTGTTGTAGACTCCGTACAATGTTATAGTGCGCTACAATGAACATGTAGTGACTTGTTCATTTTCATATTAGTTTTTTCTAGTTATAAGAAGTGAATTAACTATTGACTTAAAACATAATGTATTTTGCGAGATTTTTAAATATCAATTGAGTGCGGTCCAGTTTTTCAAGGTAACATATGTGATCAGAAATAATGGAGAAAACCTTTGAACGTAATTATGATGAAAAATGTGCTTATTGTAAAATAAGTATCAGAAAAGCTCGTCAAAAGTAAAAAACAATCAAATATATTGCTTACTCCCATTTTGGATAGATGGCGTTATCGCCTATGTATAATTGTATTAAGAATTTATTATTAAAGTTTAATCTTAGCCATGTGTACGTGAAGTATTGGATCATACGGACCATTAATACCCAGTCGCGAATAAGCAGTTTGTTATTATCGCTTTGATTTGTCCTGCATCTGTATAGGTCACACCACTCACTAAAAGATTTATAAATAAATTTCTTTATACCCGATGAGTTGGCAATTAGTTAGTTGGCTGATCTTTGTTCTTTGTATGATTGTAGAGCGCTGCGTTCAACTTTTCGTCTGATCGAAAGTCAGCTCGTTAATTGAATGGCGCAATTCAATTAAATGGATAGCCGGTCAATTAATCGCTGCAACATATACAAATACAACAAAATATATCCAAATTCTTGTAAAAAAGATATTCGGCGAGTCTCCATAAATCAGGGTCTATACCGTGCCTATGCAATCTTTGTGAATAATACCATAGTTTAAGGCTTGCCAAGGAACTTGTAATTATCTGAGGTAATAATAGTAACAGATGTGTCCATTATCAGAACAGTTCTGAAAATCTAACGGTAGTCGCTTTTTGGACATTGCAATTTCACGTTGACGTATTATTTGATCAAAAATTGATCTGAGGAACAAACCTCTCTAAATCATGGACTTAGCTCTAGATACGTAATCCAAGCCCGTTTCCAGTGCTCACCTAGCAACGAAGGGCATCCACCATTAAATACCAATCACAGTCAAGAAGAAAAAGTTGGACGATAGTAGAATCCATAGTAAATTTATGGTACAAGCACAGTCATTTCAAACTTATAAGGCTAAGCGCCCACTTTCGACTTTCTGTCACCGTGACTTTTTGTGTACAGTCACCGTGCCTAAACTTCGTTGCGGTAGTGCGCGCTCTAGAGCACGTGATAAGTAGCCGAGTTCTTAGAGTATCACTTTTGCTCCATAGTGCCCATCGTAAGCAGAAAATTTTTGTAAGTATAGTAATTATAGCGCAAGTATAGTTCTTTGTACGTATAGCGCAAATCTAGTGATATAACAATATCGGTTTTTATTCAAGTACTATAATAATAAGTAATGATACATAGTGACAGACAGAAAATATGTTCTTGTTTTATGTTAATCAATACAATAACATTTTGTGCCATTTACTAAATAGCAAAAATAAGATGTTATTAAGCAGCAGGGCCTGTTTCTATCATAATTAAATTAAATTTTGATTGTTTGTATGCGGGTCATTTTACTTTTCGAGGGCTAAAACTTAGGATAATATAGGTAATAAATTTTAAATAAAAATTCAAATTTTGGTGATGGGAATAGTTAAATATTTAGGGAATATAATGCTTCAACGTATGTAACCGCTAGCAGCAAAGTTTTCCCATCGGTTTTTGATCTGATAAGCTTATAATAGGAAAAAGTGGAATAATAAAAACAATTTGTTACCGAATTCTGATCAGATTTTCCTTGTTTCTAGAAAAATCATAAAGATATTCTCTAACATTATGCTTAACATAAACTTCGTGAATAAAAAATACAATTGATATGAAGCATATGCGAAACTTAATATTCTTATTCATATAAGTATTTCTATGATAGGTAGACAATATGCATTAGACCCTCCAATCCGCTCCGTTACGGTCCCTTCTTAACCCATCCGTAAGGAAGGCCCGAGTCCAAAAAAGTACTGATGATGATGATGGATTCTAAAAATTATTGAAGAATGGCGAACGCAAAAATTAAACTGACTTTAAACAAATCGTAATAAAGAGAAACGACCGAAAAGAGAGAAAGAATACTGCACACTTTTAGTATGTCATTAGTAAAAAGTATAACTGCACTGACAGAAAAAATATTTTTCTCTTACCATAAATGATACTTTTCTTATAAATATCTGGCACCGACCTCAAAAATGAAACGTTGATGTATACACTTTTTGTGTTTCGATTTCATTAAAGATAATAAAAATTTGTTGTATTATATCTCCCTATTTAGTCGTTTCTCATTATTACGAATTTTTAAAGTTTAAAAAAAATTAATTGTTTGTTTCATTTTTTTTATTATAGAAGTTATCTCTGTTTCATTATACTTATTTCTAACTTACAATAAATGAACATCTTTATCTGTTTTTAAACATACTTATATTTACCGGATAAATATTTTCTGTGATGGAAGCAGTTCTATGTAAATTAAGTTAATCCATTATTCTTGAAGCATTAAAGTCGCAGTTCTAACCTTAACCTGGTGACAGTGACAAACTCGTTGAGTAAGTTTTCTCTTATGTTATTCAATAAGTTGAAAAATAGTTAATCAAATAAAAAAGTTTTATTTCAGTCCCATGTCTAATTTAGGAGAAATACGTTGTCAAACATATAGACACACATACATAATATACACTTACGAAATGTAACACACATCGTGTTTAAAAGCGCTTAAAGACTAACACACATTCTAACAAAATTACTTACAGGTCAAATTGATAACCTCATTTCTTATTAGGTCGGTTAAAACGTACAGGTCAAATTAAAAACCTATTTTTTGAAGTCGGTTCATGACGTACATTTATATACAGATTCACTAAAAAACCGGAATACTGTAGGTACCAAATACTAATACTAGGTTTTTCTGATGTGCCTATTAAATAAACTTGAATAGATCGGTTACGTTATGATTACTTTTTTGTGCATTGAACTCATTTACAGATAAATTCAGACATAAATATACAAACATATTTTTAATATTACAATAAATTTGCTTGATGTGTGTATATATAATAGTGACAGATAATGTATGATTATGTAGTACTCATCGCTAGCTCATTACGAACAGAGTGGGGTTGTGGGGGATGTGCAGCGGCCCCAGCCGCTCACCCCTTGCGAAGATTATTAATTTACGTTTAAAATAACATAAATTCTACTTACCGAGGAAAGGAAATATTGTTATTCATTTTGTTTTGTTTCCTAGAATCATTTTTAAGCACGGCATTGCACATTTGTTCCTTATTACAGATATATTGTCAAATATAACAGCAGAAACCATCACTCCGCGCTTTGCAAACCGACTGATGTGACGCATTTTTAAAATTTCACACTGTTCATACTTGTGCTTACAGTTCATACCTCTTTAGATGCGCTCTATAGCTTGCTTATAGTATATACTCAAAGGCTGAGTTCCATAGAAAGAACAGAAGAACGGTGACAGAATCATGTGCCAATGATGACAAAAGATCACCAGTGTGCGCGTAGCTTTATTGTTATAATTCTCTTTGTTCATTGACAAATTATAAATATACTTACTATTCGTCAAATTATATTATTTTTAAGATTCTGTATTAAAAAAAAAGGAAACGCTAGTCTTGTAGGATCACTCGGTTCTGTCTTTCTTTCGACTTGTCTGTCTGTCCGTCTGTCCCAGTTAAACTTCTCCGAATATTGAGTTAGATATCAGTAAATACGGCTGTGAATCTAAATTGAGTAATTTGAAACATGGTGATTGGTAGCCCATATTTAGGGATATATTAGAATAAAAAAGTTTCGCAAACCGAATCATATGACGTGTCAAAAGAAAGAGCTTTATGTCAAGATCTCAAATAATTTTTTTTTATTTTCTTGCATTTGATAGTTATAAGTTATTTATGAAAATAAACCATCACCCGATTTACGAAACTTCTATAAGTAAAAATAAGAAAACTATGGTTTTAGAAATTAAGCCTTCTTTTGTTAATAATTGTGAAAGTAACCGAGGACTGGGTTTCAGAAAATTTTACAGTCGTTATTACATTTTACGAGTAGATAATTAATTAATATTCACTTTCTACACTCTACCATGTAATACGCTATCATGGAGATATCATTAACCAATCGCTTGACCTTTATAAGCATATTTAAAGGTAAATAGTTGAAAACAACACTACATAATTGATTTGGTTGATTGATTAAGTATTTGCATCGAATATACTCCGAAACTACCGGACCGATTTCATCCTCGTTGTTTTAGATGCTTCATAATACGAGGGCTTTAGATATTCATCTCGGAATATGAGCAATGTATGTGATGTTGTTAAATATTTATTACAGCTCAGCTATTAGCATTAAATTTATATTACTTTCACTTAGCATGAGTTTTAATCATCTCTAGTAAAAAAGCACCTCTAGTATGTACAACGGCTGCACGTTTGTCAGGTTACAATATGTCTTTCTGCAATGGATTTTGAGCTCTACCTTTAACAAATGAAGATTTAAAATCGAATGGGCAAATTTGACAGTTTTATTTAGTCAAACGTACAGTTGACTCTACATATAATATAATAGTGATGTGATTTTATTTCTGCTATTTTGTAATATTCAGTATCTTTGAATAAGTCTTCAAAATATTTTTTTAGGTTTTGTGATAATTATTTGTATTTTAATTTAAAAGTTACTCTTACCATCTTCAGACGCATGTACGGATTCTTCATCGATAGAATCTTCATCGCTTGAATCGAATAGAACCTTTTTATCTTCACCCTTTTCATCATCTTCGCTTAAAACATCATAGTCAACACTATCCAGAGGTTTGAGCATATTGTTGAAGATTTTACCTATTAATGCCTAAAACTTATTTGAAAATCGAAGACAAATAATGGTTGCCTAGGCAACACGTTTGTGCTACGCACAAGAATGAAATCTTGCGATGTAATTAGTTTTAACTGCAAAAGATGGCGTTGACTCGATAATATTTTTCAATAAATAATATTTTTCATACTGTATAACAATCGTTTATTTCGCGCTTACATCTATGAGTAGTTAAAAATATATATGTTTTAATCTATATGATGAATTATAATTCATTACAAGTAATTTAGGTTTCTGCCTATCTTTATTTGTCTAAATAAAAATAAAATACAAAACGTCGAACCACTGTTTCGTTTAGCTAAAACATAATTTGGAATATACAATAAACATAAAAAGTGCAAAAACATGCTTCAATAAAAAATAATATGAATATTTACTTTAAAAAATATCAAATTACAACATTCGCACCCTCTACTGAAAATGGAAAGTAAGACACTGCAAGACAAAGACTGATTAACAATTTTTTGGCATCTATAATATTCTTATTGATTTTTTTATAATTAAAGTGTAAATCATAGTTATTAGTCACGGTTAAAACGTAACATAATGACAGAAATTTTGTTGCACTAAATTTACTCAATTAAGTTTTTATCTTGTCAAAGTGCATTTTTTATTAATAAGGCCTGAGCCCCAACAGTGGGGCATTATTAAGCATCTGAGACAACTAAGGCACCACAACATTGAGGAATGATTCCGCGGAACCCGAACTTACGATTTGATGATGTATCGCCATTGCCGTTCTTTAAAAATAATGAATTTTAGCTGACACTTTTTAAAAAAACCGACTATATCAGGAGTCAGCTACGGTATTAGACACTTTATGAATTAAAAAAAATATATTTCTGTCAAGATTCATTATTTTTGAAGAAAGGTAACGACGGATGTATCAAACCGTAAGTTTGGTTTCCGCGGAATCACCCGAGACCCGAGACATTATCAACATTAATACGACCGGGAATCGAAGCTGGGAACCCAAAATGGCGAGTTCTTGAAACCGGCGTGCGAACCACTCTGCTACGAAAGTCATCAATTATATTATACCTGGTGTATAAGAAAATATTATATTTGATCATATGAATTCGATATACCGAAAAGTTCAAAGATTTACTTTACTTTAGCTTGTGGTAGAGACAGGACATCAGGTGATACAAATCGGTCCAATTACTCTACTCAATGTTTACAATTAACAATTAACTGGAGAAATTTGAAATCTTGAGATAACCTGACGAGCTGCCGCGTATACAACAGTTTTGTTACCAATGTCTGCGTTAATGAAAATGAGATTAACATTCAAGGAAACTGTACTGCAGTCGACTAAGCGACAAAACTATAATAGTTATTTAAGATACGAGTGCGGAAAGTAAGGTTTTACGAATAAGGGCCAAATTGAAAACACGAGTGTAGCGGGGGTTTTCATTGGCACGAATTCGAAAAACCTTTTACGCTCAAGTTTTTTACAACATTTTTCAATGCTTTTTGCGGGGAAATAAAACAAATATATAGGTTAATAAAACTAAGTATGTATTAAAGGTTAAAATTATTTGTTAAAATTAAACGTGATATTTGAACATGTTTTCGTGTCATACATTTTTATTTGAAAATATTCGTTATAGGCTCCTTGAAATAGTTTTGCCTGTAAAGTTTGACATATTTTCATCAATTTTTTAAAATTTCTTTGGTGCTCGGCCAAAAAAAATTGAAAAAATACTTTTAAGCACGTGTGCAGTAAAGGATTTCAGTACATTTTTATTTAACACGTGTTTAAAGACTCACTTTCAGTGTTTACAGTGGATTAAAAAAAATAGCGCTTTATGAGCAACTGCATTGAAAAAAATATTATTGTTAGACTTCTTAATATCACAATAAATAAACAAATAAATCAAAGCCATGATCGAAAACTATCACACATTTATTAAACCAGTTATTATGTTATTAATAGATTTATTTATTTTTGACAGGCTGCTCTTTCCCGAAGGAAGGAGTCTGCGGCTCCACTCACGGGAGAGAGAGACACAACGATCTTCCGTCACACCTTCTCGTATCCCCTCGCTTTGATGCTTCGTTTAAGAGTACTACAGGTAAATACTTGTTATTTCATCAGCAGCCAGTATATAGAGCACAAACCTAACTTACGGATAGAACAAAGTAACAAGCACGAATTGGTGAGCATCAACGAGTGGAGATACAACCAGAGGGATAGTTATCTAATTTAAAAATTTGTCATAATCCCTTTGAAATTGTACAATTTCGGTACAAAATCCCAGGAATCGTGGTGAGATGAATAAAATTCACACTCGCAGAACGGAGACATTTATTTCTAACCAATTTTTAAATATATAAAATGACAGAAATATTTTATTATCGCGATGTAATTCGCCATAACGCCATCTAGACGTCAAAATTAATGTAAGTTGCAACAGAAATTGACATTGAAAGATATTGACGAATATCACGCTACAACTATTTGAAGTCATAGTGATTGCTATGGCGACAACTTTTGGATAAAAGATATTGAAAGAACAATATCGTTAATTTGACATTAATATGCAATTGTGCAACTTATTGAGAAATATTCTTGATGGAAAATGCTTGAAAAATCACTTTGTCCCTGACACTCTGAGATGGGATGTGAACCCATAAGCTTTCGCAATCGGGGCGACTGTTCTATGAGCAGACTGGTAGAGCAGTCCTGGTAGGCCAGGACTGATGATTTTTCCGAGCACTAGTTACTTTTTTGTTACTCAATGTTCAGGGAGTCCACTTACACAGCCGGAAGAAATATTTAAACTTCCGATAAGTTGAAATTTTTTTCTAATGATTATATTTGATCACTTCCGATCTCAGATTGCCAGGGACAAAATTGATTTTTAAGAATATCTCTCAGTATAGCATTGTGAATTTGAAAATGATCAAATATAATCAGCTGTTGAGATATTTCGAAAGATATGTAGTTGAATGGTAAATGTAATCTTTCTGTGGGTTTAGCTGTTTCTCATTATGTTTCTTAATCGTCCAAATCATCATTCGTTCCAAAATCGCAATACATTTGACCATTAACCTACCGAATAGCTTCCGAAACATGGAATCCGAGATAACATTTTTGGTCTCCTCTGACGCAGAAGGCACGTTTAGCCAGTCCCAACTTCATCTACAGTCGTTGACTAATTAATCTGCCCTGGACCTGTTTCTATATATGTGTTTACATATTTGTTTCTATCGATGAAAGGCCCTTGTAGGGCATTGACATTAAAAGGCCGTCGGCTGGTTTCTGAATTGAGAAAAGTACAAAATCTCAACTGTTTGTTAGTTTTTTCTTTTCACAAGGTAAAATCTCCTAAGGAAACTAAAAACATAAACGAAAACTTTTTTAAGTGCTGTATAAGTACAGTTTGAGACGTACTTAACTTTAAAAACTCAATTCAGAAACCGGTATTAGATGATTTACTTAATAAAAAATAAGATAAATTCTAGAGCCTAAGATAAATTCTCTAATTTATAGTAATAATTTTTTTTATATTAAAAAAGAATTTCCTTGCAAATAAATTTAATGCCTAAAAACTTCCCTAACGCTTGTATTTTGCAAATAATGTTTTCAGCAATAATCTCGGGAAAAAAATCGAGTAAAGCTTTTAGCTTTTTATACGATTTATCATTGTAATCCTTAGATTTAGTTAAAGTATGTCTCTTAAAAAAAGCGATCTACCGTACAATATAATTGTATTACTTAAATTGTTTATCTCAATGTTAAATTATTTTATGAAGTGGAAATAATATTATTACTGCGACTGCGATTCCGAAAGTAAAGCAACTTTCGAAATGGTCAGCCATTAGATGGGTGACCAATCGGAAAATTTACTATCACGAGCTCATATTTTCTTCGAAAAACAAATCCCGGCTACATCTGCAATCCTTAACGATAGGCAATCAGCACTGATTCCCAGTATGGATTAAGGTTCAATCATCGCTGCCTAAATCTTTTCATTCGATATGTTAATGAGCTGATGATAAGATCGTGGTTTTATATAAAGGTTTTGTTAAACTTTCCCTTAACAGTTTCACTTTTGTCTTCTCAAATAAACCAAACAATATCAACAGAACGCTTCCATAAACGAATAATCGTACTCATAAAATATCTTAGCAGCGCCTTTACCTATTTCAATTTGTAGAAAATTGAAAGTTCAATTTCGGAACAAAAGCATTCAATGGAACGAGAAATGTTCGCAGCGGCACTTTTCGAATACCGATACACTATCTGGAATACTTGTTAATTTACTTTGTTATCAAGAAATTCGGGAGTCGCGTTCAGGTATTCCAAAAGAATGCTTTGCAGATTTACCTCGGGTATTGTGCTCCTTTGACATTTTACTTTCGGATATTTTAATTATACTCCACTATTTATCTTAAATAATATCTAAGAACTTCTTGACGAGATATTATTGTTGTTAAATAATTTAATTGTAGTCCAAATCCGAGCTTTTTATTTCATTTTATTTTGAGATTGTTCTATGATAAGGGCAGGCAAATTTTTATTGACAAAATCCAAAAACACAAATAACCAACAGAAACTAGTAAAATATAATTTATATTGAAAAAAAAAATATCACAAATAATCATACATATAGTATTTTTTATAGAAACGATGTCCTTCCATTTTACTTACAATTTAGATTTGCTAGCCCTATCAGTTTTACTCACACGTCTAAAACATATGTATGCATACATGCTACACTAAGCTTGTGTATGTGGGTAATATCAGATTCTGACAATATTCGATTCGAAACTATACATCGATATTCAGTATCGGATACTAAAACTAAATATGTTTTGAAACTATATGTTCTTTGAAACTATATATGTGCGAATCGATCTGTATTCGGTAACCTCAAGTCATCGTGAACACGATTGCAAACAAATAGCAAAACAAAACAAATCAAACAGCCTGCTGCGTT